GTGTGAAGAAATCAACTGTGGGAGCAATTATTAGAAAATGGAAGACATACAAGACCACTGATAATCTCCCTCGATCTGGGGCTCCATGCAAGATCTCACCCCGTGGGGTCAAAATTATCACAAGAACTGTGAGCAAAAATCCCAGAACCACACGGGGGGACCTAGTGAATGACCTGCAGAGAGCTGGGACCAAAGTAACAAAGGCTACCATCAGTAACACACTGCGCTGCCAGGGACTCAAATCCTGCAGTGCCAGATGTGTCCCCCTGCTTAAGCCAGTACATGTCCAGGCCCGTCTGAAGTTTGCTAGAGAGCATTTGGATGATCCAGAAGAGGATTGGGAGAATGTCATATGGTCAGATGAAACCAAAATATAACTTTTTGGTAAAAACTCAACTTGTCGTGTTTGGAGGAGAAAGAATGCTGAGTTGCATCCAAAGAACACCATACCTACTGTGCAGCATGGGGGTGGAAACATCATGCTTTGGGGCTGTTTTTCTGCAAAGGGACCAGGACGACTGATCCGTGTAAGTGAAAGAATGAATGGGGCCATGTATCGTGAGATTTTGAGTGAAAACTTCCTTCCATCAGCAAGGGCATTGAAGATGAAACGTGTCTGGGTCTTTCAGCATGACAATGATCCCAAACACACCGCCTGGGCAACGAAGGAGTGGCTTCGTAAGAAGCATTTCAAGGTCCTGGAGTGGCCTAGCCAGTCTCCAGATCTCAACCCCATAGAAAATCTTTGGAGGGAGTTGAAAATCCGTGTTGCCCAGCGACAGCCCCAAAACATTACTGCTCTAGAGGAGATCTGCATGGAGGAATGGGCCAAAATACCAGCAACAGTGTGTGAAAACCTTGTGAAGACTTACAGAAAATGTTTGACCTCTGTCATTGCCAACAAAGGGTATATAACAAAGTATTGAGATGAAATTGTTATTGACCAAATACTTATTTTCCACCATAATTTGCAAATAAATTCTTTAAAAATCCTACAATGTGATTTTCTGGATTTTTTTTCTCATTTTGTCTCTCATAGTTGAGGTATACCTATGATGAAAATTACAGGCCTCTCTCATCTTTTTAAGTGGGAGAACTCAACTTACTTTTTTTCCCCACTGTACTAAACATCCAAGCGAGCCGCTGGTATCTGCCTTCGCTCTGTAAACGTCTGTACTTGTCGTTCTGCTCAGAGATTTTCACGAGACACCAGTCTCAGAGAGTGAATCATCAGAGTTACAGTCTCCCGTTCACCAGATCAGCTCAGGACATGATTTTATGAGCACATCACAGAAAGCGGGTGTACTGTTTCACCTACAGCTTCACTGACCAAACACTGGCTAGAATCTCAGAGTTAAACTCACACGGAAGGAGCTGTGCAGAAACCTGCGGTCCAGGTCATATTTCACCACCAAAAGAAAAAGAAACACTAATTATATATCAACTAAAAAATTAGAGATGCACAGATCGATCGGCCAGGGATCGGAATCAGCCGATTTTCCTCACGATCGGCCCGGATCGGTGATCGGCCGGTCAGTCTCTCTTCTTTCCGATCCCGAGCCGATCCATTTTGTTACCAGCGGCACAGGCAATTACATCAGCCGCGCATTCTCACTCTCTTCTCTCCGATGACCCCTTCTCTCTCACACACACACACACACACACACACGTCTCATTTGCTCCGGTTAAATAGTGCTTGTATTGCGCATTATTTGAGTCATTCCCGCAGGTTTCACGCTTACACCGAACGTGCGCGCGCACCACCACTGATCTATATTAGTGGAGCGCACAAGACACGCTCAGTCTCAAACAGCTTGTGAGCCACAAATACCAAAATG